AGATTCTTAAACTTCATAAAAATCCTTACAAAGATGTATTGCCGGGTCCAGCAAATGCTCTACTTTGTCCCTATAGCTACCTTTACTCTACACAAAAATATGAACTGCTGTAAAGGAGATACCTCAGACGTACTGTGCCACAGCATATTCTAGAAGTGGTGTAAATCAAATGTGGATTCTGAAAAGCGTAAAAAAAAAAATTAAAATCACAATTTTTTTTTAAAAGTCAGTAACATCAAAACAATTGATTTTCCAACACTTTATACAACCATTCCTTACGATAAACTGAAAACTAGGCTTTTTGATATCATAGATTACTGCTTCTTCAATAAATATGGAACTCTCGAAAATTTTCATATCTTGTGATTGGTCATCAACAATATTATTTTGTTAAAAATCGCTGATTCTACACACTAAGTACTCTGAAGCTGATATCAAAATGATGCTGGAGTTCCTCATTGACAACATCAATGTATTCTTTGGAAACCGGGTCTTTTAACAAACTGTTGGAATTTTGATAGGCACTAATTTCGCTACTTTATTAGCCGACCTGTTTTATATTTCTATGAAGCAGAATTAATTCAAAAACTTTTACATGAGAAAAAAAAAATATTATGGCTTTCAACTCGACATTCAGATATATGGACGGCGTTTTATCAATTAACAATTATTATTACTTCCATTCATATGTCGATACGATATATCTAGTTGAACTCGAAATTAAAGACATTACAGCATATTTGAAAGTTTTATTGACTATGGACAATAAGGGCCAACTAACACTAAACTGTATGACAAATGAGATGACTTCAGTTTTCCATCGTCAACTCTTCATATTTATGTAGTATCGGTAATATCCCGCTATCACCTTTACATGGTATTTATTTTATGTTCAAGAGAATGCGTATATAGTGAATGGTGGTTCAAGAAATCAACTCGTTCATATTGATTTCTAGGAAGAAGAAGTACCGTCACGGTAGCTCAGTTGGTAGAGCGCTCGCTCCGTGATCGGAAGGTCGTGTGTTCGAATCACAGCCGCGACTGTTCTAAGTCGATAAAAAAAAAAATAGGTAGCAACTGCTCCTTCGCCAAGCGCTCGGCAATTTGAAGTGAAAGTTGCGGGTCATTCGGTTGAGACCTTAAAAACCGAGTCCCGTGTCACGGTAGGCGTTGGCACGATAAAGAACCCTTACTACTCAATGGCCCTGAGTGCCGAGTAAAGGTCTAAATTTGAAGCCCTTCACCGGTATATGGTGACGTCTCCATATGAGTGAACAATTCTCGAACGATCTTAGACGAAGATCTGATCCCCACTGAGAACGGCTTATAATAAGCAGCACCATCACTTGACGATTCGCAGAGCAACAAGTAAGAAGTGTATAGCCAGTGTTAAGAAGAAAAGACAAGAACAGGAATATAGATGTATTAATTTTAAATTAATTAAAAGCCGCTAAGGCTTACTTGTAAGTCTCTTAATTTTTCTCTGGGCAGAAAAATGTTTAAGATTTAAAAATATAAATAGGTTAAGGTTATATTGCCAATCATTAAATTCCATCATGAATAATTTGAATTAATTCGTGGTTAAGTACCTTTATTTTTTTTCTTTTGAAATAATGCAGAAGTAAGAATTTATCAAAATATAGTCGATCTTCAATCATTGTTATTTCAAAATCAATTTTCAGAAGAACAGCCGATCTGATTAAGCATGACATCCGACCAGATTTATACACATTGGAAAGCAGGGTAAAATAAACAATGTACTGTATATCGACTGGTTAGGTAATAGACCTTAATTAGGTGTCCCCACCAGTTCCCGGTCAGCTAACAGGAAACTATACATAACGTACAGTGACAGATTTTTACAAAACTTAAAATTTAACGTAACCATATAACAAATTATAAATTATGATTGTAGGCAAAAAGACAATTATTTTGATACCCATTATGATATATAAAGAATTAAAGCTGAAGATGATACGTTAAAAAATATGTTATAAACTTAAATGTTACGTTAAGATTGTCAATTATTTAGCACACTGAGGCTGATTTGTGCGTTTTAATAATACCTGTCACATTGTATGTTCATAAATATTGTCAAATATTGTGCTCATTTATATCTGTCCAGTTCAGTTGTCAATACTGAGTATCATGAATATGATGACGTATGTGGAGACTTACTCTAAAAAGGAAGTTTGCTGGCAAATAATTTTTTTCACATGAATAAATTTAAGACGAACTGAGAACAGGTCTTGGAGAAATAAAACGTAAATTAGAGACATTGATTGATGCCAAATTATATGTTGTCTTCGGAGACCAGGTTTTTCAACAAACTGTTGGAATTTCCATGAGTAATAATTGTGCCACATTATTAGCAGACCTGTTTTGTATTACTATTATGAAGCTGTGACCTACAATACGACATTTAGATAGACTGACGACATTAAAGCAATTAATAATATTCATTTTCATTCGTATGTTGATTCGATATATTCAATTGAACTCAAAATAAAAGATACCACGGAATCTGACATAACTGCTTCATATTTGGATATTTTACTAGAAAAATGACATTGATGGTGGTAAGATAACAACTAAATGTTGTGATGTACATGATGACGAACTTTTCTATCGTCAACTTCCCTTACTTATGTAGCAATATACCATATGATTATCACCTGCAGATGGGATTTATGTCTCACAAGTGATACAATTAAGAGCATGTTCTTCGTATGAATGTTCTTCCTGCCTCATTACTAAAATAAGGCAGGCTACCGACAAACAAGCTGATGGTACAAGGAATCTACATTCTCGTTTGAAGTCAAAATTTCGCAAATTCTAGGGCCGATACAAAAACCTTACTTGCAAATACAATCTGTCTGTAGATCAAATGTTCACAGATGCCTGACATACAAATTGTTAGGCTATTGTTTTCAAACTGAATTTACTATGAAAAAGGTCTGGATAACGAACAATGATCAATCTCATAAATCCAGTAAACAAAACAAATTATAAACAGGACAAAAGCACGGACACCAGGAAACAACAGAGGTGAATTCAGGTGCCTAGGAGGAGTAAGCATCCCCTGTTTACCGGTCACACCCCCCGTGATCAGGTAGACGAAATATTCCGTAGTTAAAATTAATATAAAAATAAAGTTCTAGCAATTGTTATGAATATGTTAGTCGAAATACGACCCAAATGATAGGTTTTATTTGCTAACAAAGTCATTATAACGGCCACAGAATTCACGAAATGCTGACTTAAACGGTTGTTGAAATCCCTGTAACATCACCTTTTCAGTCAGTAGCCTATCTCGGTTTAAAAATTAATTATACCCAGAGCATGCTCTTGAATATAAAATAAGGTGGAAGACATAATCATTATGTGTAGGTGATAGCAGAATATTACTACATAAATATGGAAAATTGAGGATGGAAAACTGAAGTCATCTCGTTTGTCATACAGTTTAGCGTTAGTTGGCCCTTATTGTCCATAGTCAGTAAAACATTCAAATATGCTGTGGTATCTTTAATTTCGAGTTCAACTGGATCTATCGAATCGACATATGAACAGAAGTAATTATAATTGTTAATTGATAAAACGCCGTCCATATATATGAATGTCGAGTTGAAGGTCTTGTTTTTCTTCTTCTCATGTAAAAGTTTTTGAATTTATTTTGCTTCATAGGAATATAAAACAGGTCAGTTAATAAAGTAGCACAATTAGTGCCCATCAAAATTCCAACAGTTTGTTAAGAGACAAGGTCTCCAAAAAATTCATTGATGTTGTCAATGAGGAACGCCAACATCCTTTTAATATCAACTTCAGAGTACTTAGTGTGTAGAATCAGTTATTTTTAAGAAAATAATTTTGTTGATGACCAATCACAAGATATGAAAAGTGTTGAAAAGTCAAATGTTTTGATGTAACTGACTTTTGAAGAAAAAAATTCTGTGATTTTAATTTTTTTTTTTAAGTTTTTGCGAATCCACATTTGATTTACATCACTTCTAGAATATGCTGTAGCACAGTACGTCTGAGGTTTCTCCTTTACAGCAGCTCATATTTTTGTGTAGAGTAAAGGCAGCAAAAATTACAGGATAACTTCGGTTTTGTTTTCAACCACACCTAAGGGAAGACTCTACAGGGAGAATGAAAAATCGAACACCTTTTTCCTCAAAGATCTCAAGATAAGGCAGTCTGTCCAGTTTTAGGTCTCGAGAATTATTATGCCCGGTCAAAAGAAAATAAGGAGGATCTGAGTCTAGGATATCTCTTAGGATTTTACAAAACACAGGGAAATTTTTCCTCCCTAAATCCAGCCTTTACGCCAACAAAAAATTGAAGAATGAGATGTGGTTAACCTCATATGCTAATATTTTATGTACGTTTACTAGTTAAGTTCATCTTTTAAATAAACTTTTTACTAAATTAATACATATATAATCAAGTCAATACTGTTGAGTTACAGCCTCTGTTATTCTGCCTGTATCTTGCAGATAGCATAACCACACAATATTCGGTGCATTGATTTATTGTAACGGTAAAGAACTGAAACAAAACAAAAAATAGAATTACTTATCAAAAACAGTATAAATATAATAAATATATGCGTAATAAATATAAACAGCATAAGTAACTTACAGTGTGTGGCAGCATAGGTCAGAAATTTGACATAATGGGATGAGTCTCCTAGTGTGGGCCAACAAAGGAAAACAACACAGGAAGTGAGGAATTAAGGAAAAGTAACTCTTGATTTACAAATAAAAAGATAACTCTAGAAATTATAGGACAGATAACTATTTGATTAAGAAAGATAACTCTAACTGTGAAATAGATAAATAATTTAGGAAAATAAATATAGAAGTATAAATAGAATGTTCATAAACATTACACTCCCCGTCTGATATTTGAGTATATCACTATGAACCTATTTACAAAAAATGTTTCAATATAACAAATATCAGTTTTCTAAGAATCTAAAATACTGTTACATGTATTTATACTGCAATCAGGAGCACAGTCTCTGTGATCGGACGCGTATAAAACACATTAATACCGTCCCTGTTCACACGGAGTCTTACTTTACGGACTTTCTTGTCAGATTCACTTGGGTACACTTGCTCCACCACTGCCATCTTCCAGTCACAACGATGTGCTGAGTTATCTTTCAATAAAACGACATCACCGATAGATAAATTTCTCTGGTTATGCGTCCACTTCTGTCGACTTTGCAGCGTGACTAAGAATTCTTTACGCCATCGTTTCCAGAATAGGTCTGCAAGTAGCTGAACTCTCTTCCACTGTGCCTTAAATGCATCTTTTTCTTCAAAGGGTCCAAGTGGTTCTTCACCTTTGTCTGTCTTCTGGGTCAAAAGAGTGTACGGAGTAAGTATGAATGGGTACTCGGGATCCGTTGAAACTGGCACTAGCGGTCTTGAGTTTATGATAGCGCTTGCCTCTGCCAAGAATGTAACAAGACTTTCATGTGTCAACTTCTCTGCAGTACCTTCTATCAACAGGGAGTCTAGGATTCGTCTTGTGAGGCCTATCATCCTTTCCCAGGCTCCACCCATGTGGGAGGAGTAGGGTGGATTGAAGATCCATACTGTTCTGTTCTCCAAAAGAAACTTCTTGACAGGTCCATCTTCTACATTACCTATATCGATTCCTAGACTTTCTGTTGATCCCACGAAATTTGTGCCACGGTCCGATCTGAACTTTTTAACATGGCCTCTTATAGCAGTGAATCTCCTAAGAGCGTTAATGAAGGACGAGGAACTCATCTCTTCTACTACCTCGATATGAACAGCTCGAGATGTGAGGCAAGAAAACATTATCGCCCAACGTTTTGCATGAGCCAATCCTCCTCTTGTTCGACGTGCATTAACTTCCCAAGGTCCAAAGGTATCTACCCCTACACTTGAGAATGGTGGTCCAGGTGACAATCGATCTTGAGGTAAATCTGCCATGATCTGATGTTCAGGTTTTCTTCTCATCTTTCTGCATGTCACACAGTTGAATATAACTGAAGATACTATTCGTTTGGCTCCTGTTATCCAATAGCCTGCGGATCTGATAGCGCCCTCCGTGAAATGGCGTCCCTGATGTTTAGTGAGTTGGTGGTTATGGCGCACCAAAAGCGTAGCTATATGTTGCTTTCCAGGAATAATGATAGGGTTTCTCTCATTGATTTTCAACTCTGATTGTGTTAATCGGCCTCCTACACGTAAGATGCCATCACTGTCTATGAAGGGGTTTAATTTCATGAGTGAATTGCTCTTGTTTAGTCCTCGATCTTCTGTGATGCATCTGATTTCTTCTTGAAACACTTCTCTCTGGACCTCTCTGATGATGTGTTTCTCTGTTTCAAGGTAAAGGTCAACAGTATTTGCCTTGTTGCAGATATGCCAACCTCTGCATGGTGCTGTTCCACTCCAACATCTGGCCACATGTTTTAACTTTGCCATCCCTGAAACCAAACTATTCCATGTTGAGTAGTTGACTAGTCGTTTGGTTCCTATGACAGAATCTCCAATGTGTAGCTTTTTAACTGTCACGGCTGGTCTAATCTCTTTATCACTCTCGGAATCTATGAGATTATATTCCAATGGAACTAGTTCATCTGTTTCGGGTATTTCTGATATGTCTTGGTCTTGACTGTTAAGAAACCATCGTTTTGGTCCAAAGAGCCAGGGACTGTGTTTCATATTTTCAACTGAGATGGGTCTAGTTGCTTGGTCTGCAGGATTATGTTCTGATGGCACATAACTCCACTGCTCTGGTGACGAGACCTTATGAATTTGCTCAACTCTATTGCTAACGTAAGTGTAAAATCTTCTTGTCTTATTGTAGATATAGCCAAGGACAACTTTACTGTCTGTATGAAAATGAATTTCTTTCGATTCAATGTCCAACTGATCTTTGATGATTTTGGCGATTTCAGTACCCAGTACTGCAGCACATAACTCAAGACGAGGGATGGTAACTGCTTTTTTAGGTGCCACTTTTCCTTTACCGAGTATAAAACCTTGATGTAAGTTGCTATCTAAATCCTTTGCTCTAAGAAAGGCAACTGCGGCAATGGCATCTTCTGACGCATCCGTAAAAACGTGGACATCTTTCCCGACGAGACTCTTAGTCGGAACAGGAAGGTAAGGACGAGGGATTTCTAGGTTCTCAAGATGCAGTAGTTGTTGTTTCCACTCCTCCCACTCCTCTTGGTATTGTTCAGGTAGATGTTGATCCCAGTCTGTAGATTCTAACGTCAACTTTCTCAGCAGCAATTTACCTCTAATGAGAACTGGTGCAACAAGTCCTAGGGGATCATAGAAGCTATTCACACAAGACAGGACTCCTCGGCGAGTGTATGGCTTCTCGTCTAAGGAGAGTCTGAATGTAAATGAATCGGTTCGTAGATCCCAGCTTATCCCTAGACTACGCTGAATGGGAAGGTTATCTTTCAAGAGATCGAGTGACATCAGGTCTTTTGCAAGGTCTTCGGTAGGAAAATGTTTCATCACATCACTGCTGTTGGATACAAATTTGTGAAGCCTAAGACCTCCTTCTTCCAACAAAGCTTGTTGTGTTCTCTTCATCAGGCTAACGATTTCTTCTGCAGATGACATAGAAATCAAACCATCGTCAACATAAAAATTGCGCTCCACAAAACTGCGGACGTCACTTCCATAGGTAGCTTCAGCATTATGTGCAGTTCTTCGAAGTCCATATGTAGCAACAGCAGGTGATGGACTATTGCCAAAAACATGAACGCACATCCGGTATTCTACCAACTGCTTGTGCGGATCGTTGTTTAAGTACCAGAAGAAACGTAAGTAATTTCTGTGATCTTCTCGCACCTTGAAACAATGAAACATCTGCTGTATATCGGCCATGATACCAATATCACCAAGTCTGAATCTCATAAGAACACCAAGTAGACTGTTCGTCAGATCAGGGCCAGATAGAAGCACATTGTTTAACGATACACCATTACACTGTGCAGATGAATCAAATACCATTCTTACTTGGTCTGGTTTCTTAGGATGGTAAACGCTGAAGATTGGTAAGTACCAGAACTCGTCAGTGTCCTTTAATGGTGGTGCTAACTCTGCATGTTGTGCATCAAGAATACGTTTCATGAAGGCAACTGCATGTTCACACTTCACTGAGTTCTTCCTTAGGCTAGCGTCTAAAATCATTGCTCTTTTCAGTGCTTGTTGTCTATTGTCTGGAAGTCTCTGTCTTGGCTCTCGAAACGGTAATGGTGCAACCCATTGGCCACTTTCGTCACGAGAAAACTCCTTATCCATGATGGCCAAAAATTCTTTGTCCTCCACAGACAATCCAGGCTTATCATCATCATGAGATGTCTGGAAAATGTTCTCCCCAATCGATTCACTTCTAAATTGATGTTTTAAGAATACATCACACTGTCTCTCTTCAGGTAAGTTTTCCTTTACTTTGATATTGTTCGGACATGGTGTGGATAATGTCGCTCTTCCATCAGACAAAACTGCAATTTTGTTTGCTACGACAACGTCTGGTCTATGAGTTCTTCCAAGACAAACTTCTCCCACAATTACCCATCCAAGATGAAGTTTCTGGGCATGTGGAGTGTTAGTGGGTCCAATTCTCTGTTCAATAACATGGTGCACGTCACCAAGGTCACGTCCTATCAATAGAAGAATGCCGGTATTTGCATCTAATGGCATCAGATGTTTAGATATGTCCTGTAAATGAGGATATCTGTCTGCTACTTCAGGTGTTGGTATCTCTCGTCTTTTATCAGGGATTTCATCACACTCGATAACAGTTGGAAGGTTGAATCGACAACTTCCATCAATGGCTTCTACGACTAGTCCATTGACTCTTCTTCCGCTACAGGTAGATTGTCCGCTGCATGAAAACAGAGTGTATGATTCTGCGTCACTCTGAATATTGAAGAAGTCGAATAATTCGGATCTAGCTAGCGTACAATTACTCTGTTCATCGATGATTGCATACAGCTTGATAGCGTGCTCTTTGTTGTCAAAAGGATAAACAAGTACAGGAAGGACCTTCGCACATGATCGACCACTGAATGTAGTTCCACAAAGTTCGGTACACTTATTGGAGACATGTGTTTTCGTCTGAGTTTTCTCCCCGCCGTAAACAAGTCTTTTGTTAACTTTATACTGTTCCTTGTCTCCTTCGCCAGCAGATCTGGGTTCAAACTTTCTTTGTTCTGTGTGCAATGCTGTTGCATGGCGACTGCTTCCACAAAGGTCACATTTTACATTGGCTTTACAGTGTCTTGACAAATGTTTAGATTCACAGCATTTGTAACAGAAGTCCTTTTCCCGGAGAAAATCCTTCCTTTCTTGTAATGGCATGGCTCGAAAAGCTCTACAGTGGTTCAATGAATGAGACGCTTTGTGTATTGGACATCTTGAAGATTGTTCCTGTCTTTCGTGTTTGTTTCCGTCATCTACTGTGAGATCAGTTTTCCGATTGTGAACACTTAACGATCGCTTCAGTTCATTTGTCTTTTTCTCCGCTGTTGGTACTGTAGATCCATCGTAATGGAATGCTGGATCATTCTTTACAATGCTGAGTTCCCGTATGAAATTCACTAGGAAACTGAATGGTGGAAACGGAACGTTGTAGTATTTCTTATACTTGGATGCTTGCGACACCCACTTATCTTGTAGACTTTGGGGCAACTTACTGATGATAGGAATAACACCGGACGATGAGTCATAGTATGACAAGAGTGTAGCATACTGGGCGTTCTCCTTTGCCGATTCTATCTCTGTTAGGATGTCCAGTAGATCGTATAGCATTTTAGGTTCCTTCATGGTTATCTTAGGAAATCGGCTGAGCTTATTCTTCAAAGCAGCTTCTATCATTTCTGTTCTACCATAGCGCTCTTCAAGTCGTTCCCAAATTCGGTAAAGTCCTTTGGATGGGTCATTGATGTTAGAACCTCTAATGCTGCTTGCAAATTTCTTCGATTCTGGTCCCAACCACTTGATTAACAAATCCATTTCTTCAAATGCGGAAATGTTCAATTCTCTCACTATACCGGTGAAACTAGCCTTCCATGTTTGGTAACAATCTGGTTTATCATTGAATGGACTGAACCTTGACATCAGAAGATCTTTCTTCAGAAGAAATTGTGTCAAGTTCGCAACCACTCCTGTATGTGAATATGGATAGAATTCCTGAGCTGCTGGATTAAGGTGGAAGCTATTGACGTTTGGAGCAGCAGGTTCAGTTGATGTCTTGACATTGGTTTGTGATAGAGTATCTCTAATATCTTTGTTGAACTCTTTGTACATGTCATCCTTTTTATGCAGTTGTTCAAATGACACATAATCACTCTTTGCTTCACTGAACTTTGAATGTTCACTAACATAGTTTGCAGTGTATTCTTGTTTAGTTGCTCTCAAGGAATCATTACTGCCTGGGGGATGTCGTTCCGGGAATGAAATTATCTGAGATCTTTGATCCTCAAGCCCATCTATTTCTGCTTTTATCGAATCTACATTCTTCTGGCATTCTAAGAGTCTTAATTTGGCTTCAAGTAAGGCTTTCTGTTTCTGAAGTTCTGTTTCTTTCTCAGCATACTGGAGTTTCTTTATCTGTGTTTTAGAGGTCTCCTGTTTTTTCTTAGATGCTGATGAATGACGGCTGCTGTTTGAGATAGAAACTTCGGATCGTGTTTCATATTTCTCAGAAAGTATTTCTGCAGCATCTATAAGCAAGTCTTGAATCTGATGATCAAAATTGTTCATGACACTCAAACATTTCTGATGTCGAATCATCTGGTTGTCTAGTTCTGCATCACTTTCATCTGTGCAAGTGCGATTGAGAAAAGAAATGAGGGACTCATAACTTTCCATGTATTCAGATTTGGCCTCCTCAAATCTGGCTTCAATTTTCCTTAGATACTTAATATCCGTGCAGGAGTCATCAAATTCTGTCAAGATTGCTTCAAAAACTCTCCATGCTTTCTTGAGGGTGCTCAAGTAAGACGTCAAGTTGGATTGGTACATCTCCTGGCCTCTTGGAGTTAACTTGCGTACTCTTCTTTCCATTTCTGACATCACTGTACACTTTCTTTACTATTTTGCCTGTATCTTGCAGATAGCATAATCACACAATATTCGGTGCATTGATTTATTGTGTTAACGGTAAAGAACTGAAACAAAACAAAAAAAAAATAGAATTACTTATCAATAACATGATAAATAGTATCAACATATAACTATAGATATAGCATAAACTGTGTAATAAGTTGTAAATAAAAATATTCAAGAGGTAAATAGAAATAGAGATTCACTATTAAATCCAAAATATAAAGTTTTGACACAAGTGGGTTTCCATAGAAAAATGTTATGAACGTACTCCAGTTTTATGTTTAAAGATTATGACAATAATAGGGTTCCATACTTTAGAGTGATAACAATAGATATTCCTAATATATTCAAATTACAGACATTTCATTCAAAAACAGTATAAATATAATAAATATATGCGTAATAAATATAAACAGCATAAGTAACTTACAGTGTGTGGCAGCATAGGTCAGAAATTTGACATAATGGGATGAGTCTCCTAGTGTGGGCCAACAAATGAAAACAACACAGGAAGTGAGGAATTAAGGAAAAGTAACTCTTGATTTACAAATAAAAAGATAACTCTAGAAATTATAGGACAGATAACTATTTGATTAAGAAAGATAACTCTAACTGTGAAATAGATAAATAATTTAGGAAAATAAATATAGAAGTATAAATAGAATGTTCATAAACATTACATCTGTATTTAAATCTCATGACTTGCATATATAAAGTATGAGGGAAGTCAAATTTTGTTTTGTTACCTAATTTGAGTGAGTATTGAGTAGAGAAATTTAGCTGGAGGTACCCTTTTACAATTATTAAGGCTAGAACACAATTATATCTCTTAGTCTAAATGAAATTATCTGATACTCTAACAGAAGTACGTGTTGTTTCAGATAATTATTAGTGGGGATATGTTAGGATCCCGAATGAGAACGGCTGATACTTGTAACAATCAGCACCATCACTTGACGATTCGCAGAGTAATATTACCAAGGTGTAAGCCAGGGTGATGTGTATTGATGTAATACCTGCTAATATCACTTGGTTGTAAATAAGATATATCCTAAGGCCTTTAAAAAATTAACAACACACACTTCTTTTGTCTAAATGAAATGATAGTTATCAGTGGAGATATGTTAGGTAACTCAGGGGGTGGGTGATCGACTCCAGATAATTTGGTGAATTTTTATTAGGGCATGCAATGATCTTCATAATTCTGGATGTTTTAGCCCCCCTTGCTCGGGACTGACACTGGGTGTGTGGGTGCGGGTGAGGGCTAAATCTTGGAAAACAAGCCAAATTCTATCCCTGGTGCATTTTTGGTACACATGCACTCTTTAGGTGTAGATTGTGTGCTACTGTATATGCGTCTAACTTAGGCATTTTTTTGAGCTCTGGGTATATGAAGTGGAATCAATCAGCCCTCACGAAACTGTTTCAAATTATCTGTTTTCACTGACCTTATGTACATGCACCCTTCAGCACATGTTTGGCATTCCAAAAACAAAACAAAAACAAAAAAACTGCCCTCTGTCACCTCACACAAAGTAACAAGTTACTACTACTATCATACCATTCTATTACCATCCTTGTAAACATCTAAATATAATTTTGCATCTCAGTGTCAACTAGTATAGCAGGCTAAAACGCATTTATAGACAGTTTAATACTGTGTTTTAATCTTTACTTGTAACATGGAGAAATTACGTAAATTTAGATATTTTTTGGATGTAAAAAGGCAAGTGTGTAATCTTTTACGCCTAACTATTTTCAACCAAATATAACTCCTGAGAAATTAACAAATGAAAGCAACAAACATCGAGAGGGGAGAATCATCATGAAACACTAAATCGATCAAAAAGAAGAAAGAATTTGGGTTTTTTAAGTGTCCTTAATTACATGGGGAAAATAAAGAGTATGAATAGCGTACTATGGATATTTTGTAGTGAAAAAGGCAAATCCATTACGCTGTTTCTAAGAATGTACTGAATTTCATAGTACGGTATAAATCCTTCACCCATCATTAATTTTATGATATATCTGCAATTCTACAACCTGCATCTATATCCTCAGTTGTTAATAATCTATTCAGGAAGGAATAATTGATAGCAATTATTAATCACATTACCTACATTCTAATAAAATTTCTATTTGGTACAATCCAAATTACGATCGTAAATAAATGTGTGTTCTTTTGATGCCTTAAGCAAATTCGGTTCAAACATACCATGCATGCGTATAAGAATTTTTATCAAAGCAATTACAGCCATATCTGCATTTACATAATGAGCTTCGAAGAAATCAATACTTATCATATCTTTTTCTCCATCTTTGAGTGGTCTACGGTTATATACTATTACTATTCCAATAAATAGTTCTCTAGAATGTAACTTGCTTTAACCTTATTTGTTGATTATATATTAACCCTTTTCCATAGTATCGATGTCAAAAAAAAAAAACCCGGAATTGTCCCTACTCTGTTAACATTTATTTTTCATTTCTCTAATGTATTGTTGTAAATGCTACATACATATACCGTTGGGTTTATCATTTTCTCAATATGATGGGTCGATCGTGGGACATTCAGCGTTTCCAGGCATGATAATAAATTTGCTTTGTGTAGAGGAGCCACATATTGCTCTGGGGCGCCATCTAGTGATGATCAGGTGTATGTGCTGTTCTCTTTTGCTATTAACGGAAAATAAATAATAAAAACTCTACGGATCATTGGTTAAAATCTCAATAATGAAGATAGTTACATGTTTCACCTTCATTTGTGCATGTGCCATTTCATTCAGTGGAGAAGTTAAAGGTAAGATTGCTTCGTTTTTTGTACTGAATATGAGATAATTGATGCGCGTAATGTTTCTTACAATATACATGGATATACCTCATACTACCTATTTGTATCTGTGGATAGAATTAGAAAAGGGATTAAATATTTTAAAATTTCCTCATTCTGTGTTTAAAATGATATTTTTTTTTTGTATTGATCCCCATTTATAATTGATTTATTACTACACAACACTTCATGCGCAAAGATCAGAGAGGGGTTAGTAGGTCAACATCTGCACTGTAGGCAGAAACACACACGCCTGTAAACATGTGAAAATAGTTCTTAATCTTACAAATAAAACGTCAAAAATGTCATAAATTTCCAGGAAAAAACTCACAAAAAAAATTTATAAATAAAAAATAACATATAAAAGAAGACATGGCCTGAGATCTTGAAAGCTCTCATTACACACGCTGAGGTAATGTCGAAATTTTCAGTGAGTAGCTCAATGGACATGATGGGAAATTGGAAAATATGCACTACATACATCTGTTATTAATATCGCATATTTATTGAATGTAAATTTACTTAAGCAAAAAGTAAAAGTTTGGAAATAATTTGAGAATTTTTTTATTAGTAAAATAATTTCTAAAGGGAAGGCATTTCTTATACTTGTACCCCATTTACCGCGTATACTTGTATATCTGTTTCGGAGCTTGCTTGATAAGATGAATGGTGATTATCATGGAGTGAATAATAGACGTAATGTAAGCTGACTCTAGATAAAATACCATGACAACCATTGGTGAATATTCATAAAATTAATTACCCCCGAGATTTTCATGACATTGGTAAATGTGAAAGAAAATTAACACGCCCCATGTTGATGTTGTCAGAAACTGCAATATGATTTATCGATTGTGTGCAAGTGACATTTATATATCTGAATATGAAATGGTTGGATTTTGTTGTAATTACAGGCCTGAGTGACATCTTCTGTCCGCCTAATTATCATCACTGCGACGGCACATTGTACTGCTGTCCATCTGGCTATATCTGTATTGGGTCAGCTACATGTCTTCACCTAGCGTAAGTTCTCCTCAGGGCGCGTTTGAAAATTGGTTAAATACTATTTATATGCGTGTATTGTGAATATAATTATAAGCATTTATATATAATCAGAAAACTATCTTAAGTTTTATTAGATTTTGCAGTTCTTAACATGAACACTAAACAAGGCATGTCTTGTTTTTACAACTTCCTTCCTCAACAGCTTGTTAGTTAGACATGCCTTGTTTCTTTCTTTCTTTTTTCTTTTTTTTTTTTTTTTTTTTTTTTTTGCCTGTCTTTAAAATAAGTCCATCCGCTTGCCTGTGGACAATTTAGATTTCATGTCCATATCTTTCTTTTAGTCACGCTTTAAAGTACAATTAAATTAGAAATTTGACATTAGACTATAATTCATTATAATGAGGATTTACGGAATAAGATTTATTTTCAAGGGATCGACGTTTAGTCTATTGATTTATAATGATACGTATGGGGTAATTCATTTTTCAAACACTAGTAAAAAGTTATTACATGTATGGAAAATATAGTCACATCGAGTGTACTTCCATCTTCATCAATTTATTTCATTAACTTGCTTATCAGCAGGGTTTTATTTATTTATTTATTTTGATTTGTTATTATTTTTATTTATTTTTTAAGCATTCATTTGATAATTTTTCTTAATTTTGAATTTGAACAAAAGATCGAGCATATTGAAGAAACAAAAATGCAAGATTAAAAAAATTAATAGATATCAAGACAAGAGGCCCATGGGCCACATCGCTCACCTGAGCACACTGGCTAGGAAGAAGCAGAAATCAGTTCAGTATTGAAAGGGGGGGGGGCATTAAATTTACACTTTTTTCCAATGTATTCCCATTAAAACTCTGATCGCTCATTGTGGCCTCACTCTACACACCCTAAATTTGAATCTACACTACCCAAGGATGCTTCTATAATAATATGATTAATCATGGCTTTGCTGGTCTTGAACAGAAGATTTTTTCAGATGATTCCTTTATATTCTAATGCAAAACTTAGACCCTCTGTTGTGTCCCCCATCCCTTGGGGGTCATAATTCGAACAAACCTGATTCTACAATACCTAAGGTTGCTTCTGTATAAATATGACTAATGACTAACATGTTCTTCAGGAGAAGATTATAAAGATATTTTATATGTAACGTGTATGATCAGGTTTTTACAAGGGAATAAATACTAGGTTTTTCTTCCACTCTGTCTGAGTTAATGATTGGAATGATTATTATGACACCTCTATCAGTCTATCTGGGGGTATATCACACAGTACTTCAATTTTCTCTTATCTAGAGACAGGGACTGGGTAAGATACTACTTGCACCGGGTTTCTCCCCTAGGTTCCCATTGATAGATAAGAACCGGGTGTCTCAATCTTCTTCAGATTTACTACACCCAGAACTTAACATCAATCACAAAGAAAACTTGCCACTGGTGTTTATAACTTTATACTTTTATTTTGCTCGTACCCTTTATTAATTTCTTTCTTGCTGATTCTACATCTATCTTCTTCTTCTAGTTATTGAATGCCTGACTATCCCAAAGCATTGCCTTATATAACTTTAGGCTAGTCCATTACGAGGGTTGTCAGGTCATTCCACTATTTGAAGTTTTCAATGCGTTTTCCTCAAATGCCCCTTGACCATTACACCTAATAGTATACGTGTATATTCCAGTGTAAAACTTTGACCCACTGTTGAGGCACCGCCCTACCCCCAGAAGTCATGATTTGAACAAATTTGAATCTCCACTACCTGAGGATAATTCTGTATTAATATGACTAATAGAGGTTTAGCTGTTCTTGAGAAGAAGATTTTTAAAGATGTTTCCTATGCATTCCTATGGTAAACTTTGACATGAAGAAACATGAATCTAGAGTATGTAACGAAGCTTTCACACAAGTTTCATCTTTTCTTCCCTAGTGATTCTTGAGAAGAAGATTTTGAAAAGATGCCACCAAATTTTCACGAATTCTTAATTATCTCCCCTTGAAAGAAGTTGAAAGAAAGTGTGGCACTTCCATTGATCAAACTTAAATTCCCTTCACCCAAGGATGCTTTGTTGTAAGTTTGGTTGAAATTGGCCCAGTGGTTCTTGAGAAGAAGTCGAAATCTGAACAGATCAGAAAAGCTCACTTGAGCCTTCGGCTCAGGTGACCTAAAAAGTGTAATAGAATAAATATATCTTTCTGCAAGAAAACTAAATTCACTTATCTGCGATCTGCCAAATTAACTCGTAAACCCGTACTATTATCTATAGTACGAGTTTACGAGTTAATTTGGCAGATCGCAGATAAGTGAATTTAGTTTTCTTGCAGAAAGATATATTTATTCTATATTTATACTGTATCTTGGATTTTCTGAGTATGTTTGAATGGTTTGAATTTTAAAGCTATTGCCCTTATAAAAATTGGGAAAGCTAGAAATTGAAATACACACATTTGTTGTGGACCTCATCAAAATAACACATTAACAGTACGTTTATAACTTGCACCCAATCATGATTACCTAAGACATATGCTAAGCAGAAAGTAAACAATGTTTGTGTAAAGCGCTAGCAAACAACTGTTTTCATTTTGTTAATGACTAACATTGATCCATTGATTCTGAGGGTGAGAGTAAATACAAGGATACTAGTGTTTTGGAATATCTTAAAATTTTCCGAAGCAGTTGTTTCACCTTCTTGATATTTTTTCAAATTTCCTTTGATATTTCTTCGTATTCAAGTACTCACAGTATTATTTTCCCATATATTCCTCATGACTTGTCAGTTTTGTAGTTACTGAAGAAATCAATGATTTTTTTTTTGTAGAGTCATTATCGGTCCTATCGTAGGTCTGGTGGTCCTCATAGCCTGTGTGGTCGTCTGCTGTATCTGCTGTAGTAAGTATCTGTGTGGTCGTCTGCTGTAGTAAGTATCTGTGTTTTCGTCTGCTGTATTGTAAGTATCTGTGTGGTCATCTGCTGTAGTAAGTATCTGTGTGGTCATCTGCTGTAGTAAGTATTTGTGTGGTCGTCTGCTGTAGTAAGTATCTGTGTTTTCGTCTGCTGTGTAGTAAGTATCTGTGTAGTCGTCTGCTGTAGTAAGTATCTGTGTGGTCATCTGCTGTAATAAGTATTTGTGTGGTCATCTGCTGCAGTAAGAAGTATCTGTGTGGACGTCTGCTGTATTTGCTGCAGTAAATACTATATAAATACTGCATCAGTTGAGTTAGTTCAGCATCGAAAATTTTCACTTCAATTTGTGACCTAATTTATTAGGTCCATAATTCCATTTCTCTATTAGTTAAATTCGTTTCTCTACGGAGGAAACGATCAGCCGTATTTTAGAGCTGTTGGTAGAATAGAAATAAAGTTCCTGTTGTCGTGAAGGAACAATCTCCTCGGTCTCGAAATATTGTTTGAAATATAAAATCCTCAGTTATCTTGCAACATTCACGAAAACGCGAACTTCATTTCTTAAATAAACAATGAAATAAGTAAATAAAGAAAAGAAATCATATTCTCCCATTTTCAACCTTATTTCATCACTCCTGCGCAGTCCAATTCGAGGGAAACAATTTTCCTCATTATTGATATTATATTAACCAGGCCTGCTTTTTGAGATTTTTATTACGTTAAGTAACTCCAATTTATAGTAGATTTACTGTAAATAATAATATATTAAATTATATATTATAACATTGAACAGATTTGTTTTTTGGTTCTTGATAATATCAGAGACATATCATATATAATACGATATAATACGTATATAATACGATATTGTGTAAATGAATTATTCCAATTTCTCACTATTTTTTTTGGTCATTTTTCAGGGCGAAGACGGTCCACGCCCGGTGTGGTATACAGTCCTACACCACAGGGACAAATGTAAACATTCGTGTCAATTAATATGTATGCAAAACAAGACTTTGTAGGACTTTATGTACTTAAGAATGTGACGTTGCCTTTCCTATACCTTTTAGATATATTTGTAGCTTACCCTTTGTAGCCGTTATAGCTTTACTGATCAAATTCTTCCGACATCTATACATATATAGGTCATCTACCTAGGTTTCTCACTTTTCACGTCTAATTTAAAGACAAAGGTTTGTGAATGCGTAAGAAAAATCTAAAGGGGTGGGGATAAATTGGGAGAGGAATTAATGTGCATGTTTTTGCCTTATCAATGAACAACAGGTGAGCGCGATGGCCTTTTACTCATTTTATTGTTTATTTGGTGCTATATACTTTCATGCGGGTGATTAATCGATTATTTTTGGAATTTCACAATAATTTAAAATATAAATTTTTGCATCAATTTTGATGAAGGAGGAATATGCCTTATATGGTCATAATTAAATGTACTTTTCTTTAAGAATTTGTCAATACTGTAGTAATTGTGTGTGTAATAAGCTAAAATGAAGACGTTCTATTCTTTTATTCGAATATTTGTCATCAATTTATGTACTTATTTGAGGTACTTACATCTGTATTTTTTTCTTATATTTATATGTTCTTTTTCAAACATTAAATGGTAAAAAGTAAAACTTTTTTATATTATTGTTTTATTAATTCTAGAGTACCTGCATGTTGGTCAAATATGAACTCGATGCATAGGTTATTCATTTGACAAATTATAGCTTGTGAGAAGAATATTCATTTCATAACCATCATTGTCAATTTGGTAACATATAGTGTTACTTAAGATTTTTTAAAAATAAATACCAAAGCTTTATGGTAGATTTGATCATGTACTTTGATCATGTACCAACCCGTATTTATATCCCGGTAGATGTTTTTATTTCTAAAATAACCAAAAAAAAGTTATTAAATCTTATGTATATTTTGGACACAAAGAGGGGGGGGGGGGGCTGCACCCTCTAAATCCGCCAGTGTATATACATTTGTGATTGATTTATAACAAATATTTGTATCATCAAATGTAATAGATTTCACTTTTGATTAGTAAATCAAAGAATAAAAATAAGAGATTTACTACCAAAAAAATTAAAAACTTTTTACTATAGCAATCAGAGTATGTACTTTGACTCTTAAATAAACTATAGTTTATAGTTTACACAAGTGAGTTTAGGTTTTTAGAATAGCCGTTTAGTTAACAGTAGTTTGCTTATATCTTCTTTTGAAAAATCTGAAATCAATAAAACATAGGCATTACAAGTCGCATGGTATATTGTATGGCTCAACATAATTTACCAGTACATTCAAAGTAATGAGTTTAACGTTTCTTTCTAATGACCAGACAAATATGAATTTACAATTTATAAGATATGCAAGGATATTTCAATGATTTAGGGGCAGAATGTGAGTGAAATAAAATTAACACTAATCCTTATTTTCTCATTATGTACATTGAAAAAAGGGTAAGTCTATAAATTAGCAAATGTTTGGGAGCAGACTACAGGGAGATTCCTTCACAAATATATCGCATATAATTAAAGAGGACAACTAAAATTCAAACACATTAACCTATGATGAAGAAACTAGGAATCTCACCAACCACAAGCCAAAAACACTCTCCAAAACGGCGAGAGACATATACCTACCTTTCTTTTCAAGTCCAGTAGACTATTAATTAAACAAAAGTGTTCGTAAAAGGCACGTAACATGTATTACATGTGATATACTCTCTTTATATACCTACATAAAGAGAGCATCTTCTTCAAGATTTATTTCATTTGTGAATTTTTTTAGAAAAATTCCTAGAAGATTTCAATCTATCAATGAGATTTTTTCTAAGGGTATATTTTAATACTAAGCATGCCACACGGCAGCCGAGGCTCTCCGAATCATAAAACAACAAGCATTCTGAGAATATTGCATTAGCAATTATTATACTAGTCCCCTAAAGGCAAGTGTACATGTAATCTGGTTCCCGTTAAAAATTGAAAATGCCATAATTCCATCAAAAATCAATAAAGTGGAACGAAATGCGAACTCAATCTATAACTCATCAAGGTAAAGTAACATGCCTAAAATCAACTCAATGTTTGCAAGCGTTTAGAAAAAAAATTGCGGAAAACCCTGAAAAATTGAAAAGGTCGTCAAAAATCATTGAAGCGGAACGAAATGCAAACTTAATCTGTAACTCATCAAGATACATTCACACACTAAAAATCAGCTCAATATTTGCAAGTGTTTAGGAAAAAAGTGCGGAAAACCAAGTGGGACAGACTGACAGACGGACAGACTCAGAGGAAACCTATAGTCCCCTCCGGTTTCACCAGTAGGGGACTAATAAAGCTCTTTGATCTCTGTAAGTGATGATCTACCTTACAATAAAAAAAGATGTTGTCCGCCAGTTTAGGACATCGATACTCAAAAAATATGTTATAGAAATATGTAAAACAATTTAGGCAGGTTTATTTATTGCAAAAACATATTTTCATGAAATTTCCTTATCAAAACAGCCACATTTTTTTTCCATATTCCCAAAATCTATTCTTTTATACCTTTATTAAAATTCAATTTTTTATTCATTAGTTCTTCGGCATAATGTTTTTGCTGATTATTTTTATTATTTAACTCGACATTTAGATATATCGACGACGTATTATCAATATTAACAATTGTTACTTCCATTCATTTGTTGATTCGATATGTCCCAGTGAACTTGACACCACAGAGTCTGACACATTTGTCTCATATTTGGATATTTTACTAGAAAAAGATGCTAATGGTAACCTAACAAAAAAAACTTTATATGATAATTTTAAACGTGACTTCGACTTTTCTATCGTCAACTTCCTTTACTTATGTAGCAATATACCCTTATCACCTGCATATGGGGTTTATGTCTTCCATTTGATTCAATATGCAAGAGCATGCTCTACGTACGATCAGTTTTTAAAACGAGGCAAGCTACATGTATTAACCAACAAGTTGAGGAAATCAACAGTCTCGATTAAAGTCATCATTTTTGTAAGTTCTATTGTCGATACTATGACCTTATCAGCAAATACAATTTATCATTAAGTCAAATGCTGACTGACGTTTTTCATACTAATTGTTAGGTCATTATTTAAAAACTGAAATTTTTACTGATTTTTCCGCTTACCCGATCATGAACAAAAAGCACACGGCAGGTGTGACCGGTTGACAGGGATGCTTACTCCTCTATGGCACCTGATCCCATCTCTGATGTTTTGGGAGGTCTGTGTTTGCTCTGTTCCCGATTTGTATTGTTTAAATGAACTTTGAGCTTGAATACTGTTTGTTATCTCCATATTTCATCAAAAAAGTTCTAAGTGAGACGCTGTTTAAATTTACATAATGAGTCAAAATCATGTGTTTCTTTTAAGATAATTGTATCACAAAACAAATTTAAAGATTTATGTAAAATATGAATATAGCAAAGTTTTGAAAACTCAGCTGTACTGTAAAGCAAGAAAAGAACTGCAAAATGTAAGTGCCGGAAAAACAATGTCAAGGTCACGCGACTTTCATTTTTAGCGTGAAACTTGTAAACAACATTGAATTGGAGCAAACAAAAGTGAGGAATAAGTTATGAGCATCTTTATTTAAGATTGTATCAAAATCCTAGGTCATCCGACATTTATATCTATAGAAATTGACACCATGGTAAATTCTTCAACTTTTCTGCGCATGCGCACAATAAACAGGAAAATGTAAAGCAATATTTTTGCGTTGGGGCAAACTAAAATTATTTTGACTATTATTTTTCTCCTAAAAAGTAGTTTTTTAGGTTCTGAAACCTGTAATTTTCTGAAACCTTATATCTTCTAGAATTGAACAAAATTTGCATGTGTCATCCATCAATTCTACTTTTGTCAGCTTTCCCTTTTTCCGTCACAGTGTCACTTCAAGGTACAGGGTATTTTATTTCAATGGTCAGCACACAGTAGATCAATGAAAAGCAGAACAAAAAATAAAGAGGTCTTAATTTTTATTCAACATTCACTTACTTTTGAAGCCTCTAAATGTGAATATAACTTTTAAGAAATCAAAATAATAAGCGAAGAATACATGTACATGCACGTTTTAATAGAATGTGAAATCTTTTAAGAGAAAAAGAAGACAAATTTGACATTTTGTTTAATTGATGGGTTTGGTACAAATGCATATAAAAATATGTAATAAAATCTTCATTTTCTGGTTTCGCATTATAATCTTGATTCGTTCCAAAGCGAATCTTCTATAACTACATATAACTATTAATTAAGGCTATATTAATTAAGTTGCTCATATTTCTTCATTTGCGTGATATATGTACATGTAAATGTTCATTTTCTCTCCACAAATGGATAAGGGTAGAAGGAATTCTTTCTGTTGATGTTAATGCGATATAACACCTCGTATGGATACGGGGTTTCTGGCTTAGAGAGGGTGTCTAGCTCGTCCATCTATAAATTAAAGGAAAAAATCACGGAAATGTTGAGATGACAATTTCAAACGACACATATATTAATAAACTTGGAGAAGGAAAATGATACAGGAATTTAAACAATTTCCATTGTTCATTTTGTTGCTCTTTCTGTTTCTCTGGGTATATGTGTTTGTAGTATCTTAACTTTAGTCATTCAAATGACTAAAACTTATGTTGTACACATGTAAATGAAGACTAATTCAATAACACAACCAGTATTCATATGAGAAAAGTTATGTGCATTTGGGTTTTGTTTGTTTGTTTTTATTTATTTATTTATTTTTGTTTTTGTTTTGTTTTTGTATTTTATTTATTTATTTTGGGCCTAAGCAGATTTTAAATGAAGAATACTATAACTGTGATGGTAATAAACAAATAAAAGTTACCTCTTCTTTTGAGAGTTTCCAGTTATTAGCCGCCCCAATATTGTCTTCTAGTTGCTCAATTGAGTTGGCTCCGATGACGACAGATGGAACCACGTCCTTCTGAAGTAGCCACCGGATAGCCACCTGAGGTATGGTCTTACCTGAAAAGAATTTATACCAAGTAATTTCTGTTTCATCAATCCATTCGCCCTCTGTCATTTTAACGCTGCATAGTTTAGAAATCTCGAGTGAGCATTTGAAATTTTACAAGTTTACAAATCGTAAGTCTACAAATTGCATAACTTCCAATCACATTTTACACGTGACTAGTTATGCTGGATAGTTACAAACAACATTTTATGATGAAACAAATGACAAATTTTGAAATTATGATTTACAATCTACAAATTAAGATTACAGAGTTAGAATTTTTTACCTTTTGGCTTTCCATACTTATTCAGGTGCTCTTACTTCTATTCGCATTTTGATTATACATGTATTTGTATGACCCATTTTCAATGAATACAACTATTCATATTTATATATCGGATACTGAATATCTCTTAAAAGAGAGGATATAACCATTTTTGATCCAACAAAAAGAAAAGCTGTTTAAAAAGAAAGTAAGGCAATACCATGTTCTTTAGCAATATTCTCTATGGCTTCCAGTAGTTTCCAGAAAGCTTCACTTTCGGCATATTGACTCCAAGCGGGGGCAATCTGCATTGCCTTGAACTTGTCCTGAGCAACAAGCCCGATT